CTGTAAGCATTAGGAAGGTGGGGTGTTACCATTTTAAGAAGTGAAAAATGGTGATTTTTTTGTATGTTCTTATGGCAAATTTTTTCTTCCTAAATAAGTTTATTTAAAGTGCTCTTAATGTTTGTTCAAAAATGAATAACATAAAACCTATTTTTTAAATAATATTTTATTAATAAAAAAGGTTTTAAGAACTATTAAATTTGCATTTATCTGGAGAGGTGTAGAATATGCTTATTTTATATTTTACATATTTTCTTGGATCATTTTGTTTATTTATAGCCATGGTTAATGCTCTGCTGTATGCAGATGTTTGTCAGTCTGGTACTGACTAATTTGAGTCCTTGTTTCAGTTGATAGTATATGTATTTTATAAAGGTATCATAGACTGTCATGTGTCATCTCGCAGTTGTTTCAGTGAACAAATGAATACTTATGCTTTCCTTCATCCTGTAGGGCTGAGAATTTTCTGGAGAAGCTTCATCTTGCAACTGTATTTTGCACAACATTTTTAGGTTTACATAAAACAGTTCAGCAGTCATCTCGTTAACTATTCTCATACTAAAAAATTATTAAATTGAAACTGCTGTTCTTGAGTTTGTAGCTAAAATAATTTATTTTGGATACTTTTGGTTTTTCATATAACAAGTTAGAAATTCCACGGCAATATGAAGAGATTGAAGAGAATTTGGAATGATACAAATGTTTAACGAGACAGGGTTTCAGATAAAATGTTATCTTCTTAAATCATACCAGAAATATAAATTGTGAAATGTTGATGTGAACAGCAAAAGGGAAAAAGTATAACTTGGCCTGCAATTTAAACATTATATTATGTAAACAAATGTTTAACATGGTGACATGAAGACAATATACACATGGATTATATTCCCCAAATAGTTCCATAACATTAGTCTATCTTTCTTTGTCAAAGCAGCTACCCAAGCTATCCTTATCCGGGTGGTGTTCCATTTCCAGCAACCACTAGTGTTCAGTTCTACCCTTCTCAGCCTCCTGTGACTACTGTTGGTGAGTACCTTTGAAAGGCTTTCTCTGAAGTGAAGCTTCCCTCTGACTGATACAAAAGAAGGAAAATTGAAAAAGGAATGTATTGTTTTTAATCTGACCTTCCAAGGTATTGATCTTCAATTTAAAAAGTTATTCAAAGGAAGAATAATATACATTTTATGTCTTTTGCCTTATATTTTATTCAGTAAGGAACTCAATAAATTCCTGGGTTTGTGCAATGCATTGTGTGTGCTCTATAAATATTTTGAAGGACACTGTGTTTAAGTACCTTAAGTTTTTTTCTTACCCTTTATTTGTAGGTGACTTTTGATTGTCTGTGTTGCTCTGTTCATGGTCATGGTTTCTGCTTTTGTCCTAATTTAATCATCTGTTGGGCTGACTTTATTTACTCTTTATTTATACTTTCTTTACTCCAAATGTTAAGGAAGCCCGTGCCACCCAGGCGTCTGGTGTTATCTCTGTGGTCTGACCTGTAGGTTTCCCATAGCAGAGTGTCAGGCATCAAAGTTTAAAAAAATAAATAATTTATTAAATGGTACAGCAGAAGAGTCAGCTCGATCTGGGTGCCTCCAGAGGGGGACCCTGAGCCAAGAAATTCCAGGGCAATTCTACCCTTACAGACTGTTCACCCACTCCTCCATGCACTGTTCACGCCACTTTTGGTCCAATTATAATTTTTGTTTCGGGGCCTTCTAACACCTCATTGGATTCTTTCTCTGTCTCTGGGCAGGTCATCAGCTGTTCTTATCTTGACGAGTTACACCTGCTGTTGACAGTTGTAGTCTTGATGCCTCCGTATCTTCTAGTCTGTGTTTTTTTGGCAGAATATGAGAAACTGCAAAAGTCCCAGACTTGGGATAAAAAGTTCCGGACTTAGAATAAATGTTTAGCCATAACACTTAGCCATAACCACAACTTCAGTGTGTTATCTACATTATTCTCACACTAAAAAAACCCAAAGCACAGCACACTGTACCAACTACTAAAAGAAAAAAATACATTTAAGTGGAAATTTATGGCTTGCAGCCTCAGGCTTCACTAAATCTAGCTATTTGCTAAGTAAGTGAAGCTAAGTAAATAGCACACTAAATCACACAACCTTACAACTCCTAAGTGATTCATTCTATTTAAAATTTACTTATTTAAGCTAAACAACTAATATTTCTTAACACCAAAAGTTGTAGCTATCTAAAGCAGTCGTTTCCAATGCATTTGGAATGAGCTTCATTTTTACTGAGTTTCTTTTCCAGCCTCTTCGCTATTGCTTGTTAATGGTCCCTACTTGTCAATTCCTTCTTTCATCCCTTGAGCAGCAAGATCTAGGGTATTAACATGTATATTTTTCCAATCTCCTGCTCTGTGGCCCTGTGCTGGCAGAATACGCTAGCTTGGTTTCTGCTCTCGCCTCTCTTTTACTGTATGTGTAACAGGTTGGAACTAGTGATAAAGGTCATCTAGTTCAGTAGGAATTTGGTGCAGTAACTTTCCAATTGGATCATAGTCCTTCTGGAGCAGTCACGTGGGAAGGACATAGACTCTTGTGACTTTGTTACATTTATCACTTGTAGTCTCTTGCACCATAACTTAAAAGCCCATTCACAGGCTCTTCATGTAATGTGTGAGCTCCCAGTTATTTATACACACTCTTCCCTCCGGAACTGTGCGTATTTTGAAATTTTTATTCACACAAGTGGGGACGAAGCAAGTTCTCAGCTTGGCAAAGGAAGATAGATGCTTCTACTTTACTCATAAAATATTTGAGGAGTTGTTCTGTTGTTACAGAATTTGAAAACAACAGTAAGTTGTATGTTGTTGTGGTGGTGATTTTAAACCCAGCTAGTGGTGAACACACAGCTGTTTGCTCATCCTTACCCCTCCTGGAAATGTCGGAGAGAATTAAAGGGATAAAAAGAAAAGAGATTTGTGTATTGAGATAAGAAAAATTCAGTAACTAAACTGCAATAAAATTTATTTATTTAATAATGATAATAGTAATATATACAAATGAGTGATCCACGATGAAGCTGCTTACCACCTGGTTACAAAGGGTCAGCCCATTCCCTGCTAATGATCCCAGAGCAGAGTCCCAAACCTACAGTCCCAAAAAAGAGATAAGAGCATGAGTGACAGAGAGCGAGATGACCCTGAGAGAGAAGCAACCCAGAAAGAGAGCAAACTTCCAGACAAGAGACAGATCTATACATTGGGCGTGACGTATATGATATAGAATAGACCATTGGCTAATTTGGGGTCTCCATCCTAAACCTAAGGTCAAATCCTGGGCTAGTAACTGGGGCTGTGCTCCCTCCCTGCTTCTCTTGCCCCTGCAGACACGGGCACCGCAGAAAAGCTGAAAAGTCCTTGACTGTCCTGGCAGCAGCTGTAACCACCAGTGTGTGATCAGCTTCTCCTCAGCACAAATCCAAACACAGACTCTTGCTAGCTACTGTGAAGAAAGTTACCTCTGTCTCAGCAGAAACCAGGACACTGGAGAATGTCGGATTTCTGCAGCATCTTTCTCCAACAGATTTGGTTTTCCTTGTATGTAGTAGAGAGTTAGTTTAAAATACAGATATGTCCTATTTAATTTCTTTCCCTCATTTTCATCCCCAGTGAAGATGAACAGCGGTGGAATATCTGCTAGATACCATAGAAGGCTCTTTAAGTCCTGAATTAGATGACCTGATACCATGTTGTAATGCCAGATTGTGTAGTGGCAATTTAACATTAGACAGGTTTGTTTGATGCAGCTAGGTAAACGCCATGCACCTGTTACACATGGTTTATCTCTTGCGCCAAATGAAATGCAAACATGTCTTTAATCATCTACTGTACTTACTGTCCTGTTTAGTTTTTTACAGTACAGTATTGTTTTTCTTTCAACTGCAAATGGTAATTTCCTGTACAGACTGTTCAGCTGTGGTTTACTGTGATAGTTTATTTAGGAGCATATCAGGTACTGCAGCTTCAGAGTTTTGTATGGGTGGTGGTGGGGTGTTTCCCGTAGTGAGCTTAGTTTGAATTGAATTAAAATACTAATTCAGAGTAGCTTAAGTTTTTAATAATAGCTGGTTGTTCAAATAGTCCTTCAGGCGTTTTCTTTCTGTTCAGTTACCTGCCATTAATTACCTTTCTGATGCAGTTACTAGTTCCATGATTCCATAAGGTCACTTCTGAAACCAGACTCTGCCTGGTAAAGGTTAAGGGTTTCAGTGCTCTGTGGATTTAATGGCTGTGTGCCATAAAATCTTCCCCAAGCTGGGCTAATTATGGAAGTGACAGAAAATGGTACGGGTTCATGCTCTTTAAGAAGATACATAAAATCTGATTGAGCTGAATTAAAATGATCCTTTCTATGTTCAAAGACCTCTTTCCTATCTGTTGGCTCTTCTGTGTGAACTTTCATGGTGTTAGGCGTATTGTGATTTTATTTTATTTTCTCTGTCCTACTGTTAAAGTGAGCCTTGTATAAAATCTCCCAGAGTGAGGGATATAAAGGTAAAAAAGTAGAACTGATGGGTGTTGCTCACTTTGTGTTAGAGAATACTTCATTACGTAAAATAAACAGTAACTGAAATCATGCTGATACTATTCTTGAAGTGAAATTGGACCTTTTTGTTTGGATTTGGCATGTGTGTGCTTATAATTGTCTGCCTTAAACAGGAAGTCCTAAACAGTGAATAAACTCTCTGTCCCAGGTAGTGTGGCTGACTTGATTTAAGTTTTTTAAGTTTTTCTCAGTGTAGACAGTACTGTTCTTTTCTCCTTTTCATAAGAAGCAGCAATGATTAATTCCTGGGTTTGACTGCTTCTGTTGCTGATTCTAATAGATAGTTAACCAAATATTGAAAATTATCTTGTTAACTGTCAACAGCGTGAATTGCTTAAGCCAGAACTGTAAATCACATCGAGTGTTGGGACGTTTATATTTTCACAAGATTGTCTTTGCACCAGTTGATTAATAATTCAACTCCTTTTTTCCCAATAGTAATTAGCTTATTTTTTAAAAATTACACATATTCTGATGCAACTGTATGTAAGTAAAGTGCTCACATTAGTAATTAACAAAATCTGATGTTAGAAGGATTTGGGGGATTAGTAAGCGTGATGTGCATCTTCCATAGTTCCTCTCTTGTCATTTGCATAGCTTTATTTTTACAGTTACCTGCCTTGCTGTAGGTTTTGGGGATAGGATTAAAATAAAAGGCATAGGGAAGATATATGAATTTGTGCAGTCTTGTTCTGTTAGCAGCAGAAGTCCCAAAAACCCTCTGGATGTTTTAAGGATTCCGAGGTGTGCAGTCTTGTCAACAACAGTTTGCATTTGTTAGTGTAACAATACCGACAGACACTCCAAATAGATTTTAGAATTTTTTTTTTAATATGATGAGACCCTAACAGAAAATTGTTAATTTTTCCATTCAGATGCTTGTTTCTAAAGGCAGAGTTTAGATTTTTAAATTATGTCCTGGATTATTGCCTATTATCAGGAAGATACCCAACCTACCCCAAGAACACTGTACGCCTGAAATTTCACTGAGCAGCCCACCCTTTTCCTGAATGACTGCAGTAAAATTGTTGTAATCTTGGTTGTGGCTAGTAGTAGTTCGGTTATTGAGTACTGTCAATAATGTATAAATGTTTATCTTTGTGTAATTTACTCTAAAAATACCAATCTTTGAAATATAAGTGGCAGAATTAATGTATGGTTTGAGTTGCTTGTTTGTTTTTGCTTCCTCTGAGGGCCTGTGATTATTAAGGTGGAGAGGTTGTTCAGATTTCAGCTGACTTGAGACACTTTTCTGAAACTTTGGGATGGAAAAACAAAATATATGCTAATGGTTTTGTCTTTAGCTATGTAAGATTCATGGAACCATTGAATATTTTTTCACTTTGTAATTTTTTGAGATCTAAGGTACTGGGAAATACAATGTACGTGATGCCGTAACAACTGCAGGGTTTTGGTAACTGTGGATAAAAAGATAAAATTTATTTTTACAGATTGTCTTTCCAGTCACAGACCTTCAAATCTCTCTAAATTTCATCCATAAACATTGCAGAGTTTAGGCACAAAACCTGCTGTAATTCTTGCTCGATTAGTTGTAGTTGGAATCCAATTAAAATTTCACTGATCTAACAGGTGTGAGGTACAGGCATGGGGACACTGTAACACTCCAGTTTCCCTCATGGATGAATGGTTGAAGTGGTTGGAGATAAGATGAGTACAATTGTGCAACACTAGCCACTTCACATTCTCTAGAGCAGTGTGAGTTTCCTGGCCAGCAGATACACTGCACTTCATGTGACAGACCTAATGGATTATTTACCTTTCTATTTAAAAGGTGTTAGTGACAGACTCTTGAAATCAGGTAATCTCATTGAAAGGCTGATTTGAAAAAGCAATAGTAATATTCAGGCTTAAATGTGAAGGCCTCTAGTGCTTCAGAGGGAGAGGGACTAATTAAATTAGCTTAGAGAATTTATTTTCTTCTATTATATTTTCTAGTCTTGCTGCATTGAAATGTGATTCAATAAACTGAAATTACAAGTTGTACTTAGCAAACAAAACAATCCAAAAAGGCAGTAGCCTCAGTTGATGTAACTCTGTTACCTGGCAGCCTCTGTTGTCATTTAACTCTAACACTAATCATTTATGGAAGGTAGTTATGTAATACTAGAACAATATTAGTTAGTAGTTTGTTTCACTACTAAAACCACTACTCTGAGTTTCTGGGTACAATGGACCCAGTGAAATGCTCCCCCCCCACCCAGCTCCAATTACAGTACCATCCTGTGGAACTTGAAAAAAGAGAAATGGTGGGCCCAGTGTAACACTGAACATGTACCTAAAAGACTGCCAGCTGATTTTAGTCTGCTAGAACATATCTATAAACCATATGCTAATAATTGTGAAAACAATTGGAAAGAATAGATCATATTGTAGCTTTTTAATCCCTTGATACTGTCCAGTAAGTTGTTACTTAAACAGACTCTATATAAATAATAATATAATATAAAAGGGCAGCAGTTAAGATCTTTTTGACTGAAATTATTTTTGTTAGCTTATTGTTCATCTACTTTTATTAATCTTAAAAAAGAAAACCAACAACAAAACAGTAATTGGTAAGACTCAATATAGAGTACCTATAGGCAAATTCACTGTCTTAAGCCAGCCATTACATTAATTGTGATAGAGTTTACCAAGAATTTGTTATTCTTGTAAAGACTCAGACTAACAACATTTGTAGACTTCAGGGGAAATGGCCAGCCCATTTTTAAATTACAGGAAGATTGTGGATATGGGAATAGTAAAGTGAATTAATTTACTTGTGTACATCTTAATGTGTGTTTTATCTCACTGTGGTTTCTTCACTGCTTCTGAAAACTATTACGGAAAGGTTTATTTTACTATCTCATATTGCTAAAGTACATACAGCAAGTTAGCTGCTTTTTTTCAGACTGGCTTTATACTGAAGCCAGTGCAGAACAGAGTTAATTTTATGTTTGTGAATTTCCTTGTGCAGGACCCAGCAGAGATGGAACTATCAGTGAGGATACCATTCGAGCTTCCCTGATTTCGGCAGTCAGTGATAAACTGAGATGGCGGATGAAAGAAGAAATGGATCGTGCGCAAGCTGAACTCAATGCCTTGAAACGGACAGAAGAGGACCTGAAGAAAGGGCACCAGAAACTGGAAGAGATGGTAACTCGCCTGGATCAAGAAGTGGTAAGCTGAGATGAAACACTGCTCTGTATCTGAGTATTCATAGTAGTGAACGGAAGCGTGACAGACATATCAAAGCTTCCAGTGTATTGCTTTTTAAATACATATTCTCTTTACAAACTGTGGTGCCTGCGTTCAGACTGAAGCAAGTCAGAAATAGTAGTGACCATAAGATGCCTTGTCCTGCACGTATCTTACAAATGTAGTAGAGGAATAGGGTTGTTTTTCCCCATCCTCCCTGTGAAAGATATCGGTGGTGTGAGATTATTTCATAATCGTGTCTTAGTTTCTGGATAATAATTTGAAACAGCAGCACTGGAGAGCATTTCAGTGTCTTAGTGTAGAGACACTGATTTTAGTCACAGCCTCCATGTATAACCTGCAGACTTTTCCTTTCCCAGACAAGAGTCTCTCCTACTCAGTATGCTCAGAAATTCCTGCAGTTTGTCATTAAGGCCTGACATCATCTTAGTCCACCTGCTCCTTGCATTACTGCTTGGGAGGAGGATTTTGGGATTGATGAGCAGTTTCTGAAACAAGCTCAGTGCTCAGATATGGTTTAAAAAAAAATAGAAATTATTAATAAGGATTAGAGAACAGGGGATACCATTATGTCACTGTATAAATCGATGATGTGCCAGTTTTAAATGTGGTGTGTAATTCTAGTCTTTCCTATCTTGAAAAGAAAGGACATAATAAGACTGCAGATGTCTGATGCAAAGGCAAAAAGGATCATCAGCGTATCGGACAGCTTCCATGTAAGACATGACTAAGTAAGCTAGGACTTCAGTCTGGAAAAAAGACAGTGGGGAGAGTGGATTATGTTGATGATCTGTACAGCTTTGAGTGATATGATGAAAAACACAGTGGTGTACAGTCTCTTCCAGTGTGTTAGCTCTGGGACATCAAATATATCAGGAGGCAAATTCAAAAGTAGCAAAAGGAAGTACTTCTTGTACAGATGCAGTTAAATTATAGTTACCATCAATGGGTAAAGCCAGCATATTTGGCTCCTGTCTATACAGTTAAGTGTTTGTGTGATCTATGCTCAGCAAACTTGTATAGGAACTTACTCCAAAAGACACATTTCCAAAGAAAACAGTTATTTTCGCTTTGCTTTTATTATCTTTAGCTAGTTTAAATGGTTATTTCTCCATATTGGTGGAGGTAAAGGTTGCATGTTCAAAATACTTAAAAGATTGTTAATGTGCCTTCTCTACGGTTATAAAGTGGTAATGGATTGGCATTATCTAAAACAGCCTTGTCTAAAATAAAATAATCTGAAATCTATAGATTGGTAGCTCTCTCTTTTGTAAAAATTGGAATAGAGATGAGTAGAGAAGTAAAGAATCAACTGGCATGTCTAAAAATCTTTCAACTTGACTGTTGTATCACAAGACGACATTCAGCTCTGGAGACCTAAGAAAGAAATAAACATCTTACTTGTTTTCAGGCTGAAGTTGACAAGAACATTGAACTTCTCAAGAAGAAAGATGAGGAGCTCAGTTCTGCCTTAGAGAAAATGGAAAGTCAATCAGAAAATAATGACATAGATGAAGTTATTATTCCTACAGCACCACTTTATAAGCAGATCCTGAACTTATATGCAGAGGAAAATGCAATTGAAGACACCATCTTCTATCTTGGGGAAGCGTTGAGACGTGGAGTGATAGATCTAGATGTCTTTTTAAAGGTAAGTTTCTTGGGATGTTTTTAAGATGTGCATTTTAATGTGTTTAAATACTTTGAACTCTTCTGTTCAGCTTATTAATTTGTCCTTAATGCTCAAAGTTTTCATGATGTCTGATCTAATAGCCTTCCTTTATTTTGAACTTGTGTGCGTGGTGATGGCACATGAAATAAAAACAGGTCTGTTGTTATTTTGAAAAGATTAAAAACACTTTTTGGGGTGGAATAGAACTACACAGAGTATATATGTCAGAATAATTAATGTTGCCATTGGATCTGGAATATGTGTAGAGTTAATAATTAAAATAACAAAAAAAAAACCACAAACTATAGGTATTGCATTTTAAGCCAAGAAAATGCCATTTAGTGGACTAATGTATTTAGTGTTTCCAAAAAAACTTGACATCTTGTTTGGGTCATTGAATGTGTCACACTTTGAAAATTTTTAATGCAATATCGTTAAGATTATATAAAAACTTCCCCAATAGCCAGCTGTTCTTATTCTTTCTTTCTGCAGCATGTACGTCTTCTGTCTCGCAAGCAGTTCCAGCTGAGGGCGTTAATGCAGAAAGCAAGGAAGACTGCTGGACTCAGTGATCTCTACTGAATTCTCAGACTCTAACTGGGAAGTTAGATTTCCTTAAGAAGCAGCCATTCTCTTGGTATTTCTCTTATATCAGTAGGTGCCCAGAATAAGTTATTACATCATTCAAGTGTAAGATATTTTGAATCAATAATATATTTTCTTTTTGGTAAAGACTAGCTTTTATTAATGCACTTTCTATCTCCTGTAATCTTTGTGCTGGTGGACTTAACGCTGAATAAAACTTGTTGCATATTTTCTTCCTCTACAGAACTGTGTACGATGTGTTTTCTTTACAAACAGGCCTGGCTTAGGCACTGCCAGTGTAACCACACTGTCACGTCACTTCTGACATTTAGAAGTGTCCCAAACTGTAAAAAATCATGTTTCAGTATAACTAACCTTTGTTATGACCAATGGAAGTTGAAAACTTAAAATTTTTCAAGTTTGACCTAGCTGTTAACATCCAAGGCTTGTTTTCTTGACATGAGCGTAGTACTTGTTATATTGACTTGTGTTCTACCATCAGATCATGGTCATAGTGGAGCATACGAATGGAGCATCTCCCTGCTGAGGAAAGGCTGAGGGAGCTGGGTCTCTTTAGGCTGGAAAAGAGGAGACTGAGGGCTGACCTAATCAATGTTTATAAATACGTGAAGGGTGAGTGTCAGGAGGATGGAGCCAGGCTCTTCTCTGTGACATTTAGTGATAGGACAAGGGGCAATGGGTTCAAACTGGAACATAGGAGGTTCCGCTTGAGTATGAGGAAAAACTTCTTTACAGTGAGGGTGACAGAGCACTGGAACAGGCTGCCCAGAGAGGGTGTGGAGTCTCCTTCTCTGGAGACATTCAAAGCCCGCCTGGATGCGTTCCTGTGTGATCTGATCTAGGTGTCCTGCTCCGGCAGGGGGATTGGACTAGATGATCTTTCGAGGTCCCTTCCAATCTCTAACATTCTGTGATACCTTACGGTGCCCTTAAGTGTTGACCTATATTATATTTTTCCCCCCAGAAGATGCTTGGAAAAAGAAAGGCTGCCCCATGTGGTGTTGTCCAGCTTGAAGTGCTGCAGGGATTTATGGTGCTGTTCTTGTTGGCTGTCAGCAGCGTGCTGCTGTCCTTCTTTCGGTTTTGTAGGCTGCCTCAGCAAAGCTAGTTTGAAAACAAAGTTTCTTCGTCTCAGGGCAGTAATCACCTGGCTCAAAACCAAGCGTTTGTCTTACAACTTCTCATGTTACCATTGGATCTGAAGAGACTGGAGTTTATATTGAAAAGCTGGGGGAGACTTCACATAGTGAAAATTGTAAGTCCTGTGGATCTTCTGAAAGCTTTGAAAATGTCTTCATACCATCTTCCTGTTACCTGTATAAAACATGACTATTCCTAGTCACTATTGCTATGTGCTCTCTTTCCAGCTGCTATTTTGGTCATGTGGATCTGAGGAAGTGGTGCAGTAGCTACAGCTTTTTCTTTATTACCAAAGTTGCATCACAAGCACTTTTGTATTATTCTAAAGTAACTTTGTTCTGAGAAGCATCACCAGCTGCAGTCCATATTAAAAATCTACCCTCAACTTAATCAGGTGATACATTTCCATTCCTAAGCTACATGCTGTGTCCTAATGTTAGAAAAAGCTAAGAGTAAGGCCTTTCCCTCTTGTTGTAATGACATACATTGTTTAAAAGTATTAGTGCCAGGAGTAGTTCTTCTTTATTGAGTAGATTATGGACTTTAAGGAGTAACTTCAGTTGTTGTTTCTATGCCTGGTTGCTCTTCCAGAGGCTTTTCTGTGCTTGGCAGCAAGTTGACTTTTTATGGATGTCAAGTACTCAATGTGGAGAGATTTTTCATACATGTATTTTTGTGTGTACAGGTAAGGAAGACACCTCCTCTGTTGCATTGTTTCTCCCTGCCTCTTAACATGGCAATAGAACCTGTTTCTTTGCAGCAAGATGAGAATCAAGTTTAAGCTCTGAGTATTTAACAGCTGGTTTATTTTCTTTCCTACCTTAAGACTCTTAGGAAGTTTATTACATAAATAGCTGGAGCCTGCAACAGAGCACCTGGACACAAACCTCACCTGTGTAACAGTGTTATGAGTTACATGACTTAAGAAAGAGAATTGTTGGATTTAGAGGGGTGTGACTCAAGCTGCATTTTGGAGATAAAGCCCTATAAAGAAAAAGCACAGCCAGAAATAAGTTTGTGGTTTATTTGGCATTGGAGCTGGTACTACAGTTGGGACAGTCACTGTCTTGTTGCATACAGAACCCTTAACATTTTTTAAACATGCTCAGGAGACAAAATTACACCTAGGCTGATACTGTACACAAAAATAAGGTTCTCTAAAAAAAAAAAAAATAGTATACACAAATTCCAAAAGCAGTGTTAGGAAAATACATTTGGACCTACCAACAGTGACATAGTTAAGCTATTCAACTGACAGAGAAGGTTGGTCAATTGGTATGACAATCCTTTTAACTGCAAGAGAATAGTCTTTGGTTTTACATGGTGTAGTAATTAGTTACTTATTGTTCTGAGCCAACATGAAACAAGATAAGGAAAAGGCAAAGGGTTTTCTAGGCAGTGCTGCTTTGAATGCTGGATTTTTGTCACACCACTTCACTGTACAAGGCTGACTAGGTTATCTAGCTCTGGCTAAGAACATGGCTGTCTGTGAACAGGAAAAACCCTGGAATAGTTTCCTAATGCTATCTTCAGGAAACTCATTTGTTGAGATTTGAAGTTTTTGGGTGTTCTAGTTGAGATACATACATTGAAAGATTTGACCTACTTGGAAAGTGCAACATAAGACAAACCACTAAACCCGTTAAACTGCAAAGAGTGAACTGCTGGGGCAGATTTAAAACTGTAGTTCCTTCTGGATTCCCCAGAGTGTATCTGCACTCTTCCTTAATTTGTCCTCTTCCTCAGGTTTTAGGATCATCTTCACTACATCAGTGATGCCACTACTGCCCAGTACACAAGGAACACTTAGGAAGACGTCTTCTTTTATTCCATGCATGCCCTGAAAAGTAGGTAAGGATCATTAGGCTAGAATTCATGTACATCTATGTATCTTATAGAAAATCCTATCAGGAAAACCAAATTAACTTTCTACTTCAACTAAATTTATCCCTGTTCTTCAGAATTCGCAAGGTTTTTAGTTCTCAGACACAAGTTAACAAAAAGAGGCTGCTCACCTTAACAACTGTAGAGATCGGGTGCACTCTTCTCAAATTTTTCATAATAGTTTCAGCTAGATCTGCCACAGAAAGGCCAATAGCCCATGATGTGTACCCCTTCAGTTTGATGACCTCATAGGCACTGGAGAGACAAAGTTACTCATTAAAAAACAAGTATCATCAAATTAAATATTTCAAGTTTGTAAGAAGGGCTTTTGAAGGTGCCTTAATGAATCTGGAGACATCAGAAGCTTGGATGATTTGCTGACAGGACTGACATGAACTCAGCAGTGAAGAATTCTATTTGCATGTTATGCTACACCCTGCAGTTCTGCTGGAAACTTGGAAGTTAAAGCACTTCCCTAATTGGAAGGTCACTAACCATGAAAGATTAACTCTGCCAAATCTACATTACTCTTTAAAATATTATTTCAAGTTCTATTATGTCTGCATCTTGACATTTGTTTTGGGCTACTATGGTATTTATGAAGCCAGATGTGGATACTGCAGTTCAGAGATGCTATAGCTCTTCATAATTTGTTCTCATGTTGAAAAAAATCAGTACTTACCTATCCACCACCTGCTTATGGACCTCCTTCCAGTGTTCCTTGTCTGCATCAGTTCCCATATCTGGATGAAGAGCCTTCAGGGACACACCAGCAACATTCACTCCACTCCAGACAGGTACTGAGAATTGCACAGAGATTAATTATCTCACAAGATGAACAATCTCCCCAACCACAAAGAAACTTAGGTTTGTTCTCCTCAGATTAACAGTTAACATGGGATCTAGCTGGATTATTTGCAGCACACGTCACTATGACTTAGATATGACTTTAAATATAGTATGACCTACGAAGCCCATCTAAATTGCAGGCTAAGAACCTAGGAGCATATAAACTTCTTTATACATTATGTCACAAGGTTTGAATATACCTTTATTAAAGCAAAACACTTAAGCAACATGAACTAAAATGATAATAACTATTTTGCAAAGGTTACTCAAAATAAAAATTGATACCAAGTGAGTCCTCCTGAATGTCAGGAAACAGGCAGTACTGCTCTGGTGCTACTAGAGAAAGTAGAGGTTAAATAAGGAGAAAGTTGCTCTTTCTCCTGTCCTCTAGACTTGCCTCTTCCTATATATAGTTCTTGAAGAAGAGAGATGCCAGTAAAGAGAACTGACTACCAGACTACTGGTGCAGATTTTTGGGAGTCCCTTGCAGAGAACTTTACCCTCTTGCTGCTTCAGTTTGTTTTTTTGGAGAGTTATGGGAACAACTTAGCCTAGAAATTGTTAGCCTCCTCTGGTTACAGCAATGACCTTTTCCAAGCAGGGTAACTCAGGTCAAATATAGATCATCTAGGGTTACTGTACACAGCATAAGACTTAAAGCAGGACTTGCATTCTTAAAGTGCTGCAGTGCAAAGGTTTTTGAGCAATGTTTTGCTGTAGTTTTTGGGGATGTTTCTTGCAAACAAACTGTGAGGAAAAGTTCTGTGTAACAGCTTGATTTCCCCCTTACCGCTGGAATCTCCATGCTCTCCAATAATCCATCCGTGGCAGCTCAGAGGATGGATGCCCAGCCTTTCTCCCATGAGGTGGCGGAAACGGGCAGAGTCCAGATTGCAGCCACTACCAATCACACGGTGTTTAGGAAAGCCACTGATTTTCCAGGCCACGTAGGTCAAAATGTCCACTGTAAGTAGAAGAGGGAAAGTGTCACTCATGAGCAATCTGATAACTAGGCTGGTATCTTCCACAAATCTGTAAGCATTTTATCTTTACATTAGTTATGTGGAATAGAGCACAAAGGGATGCCTGTTGCCAGGCCCTGCAGTGGGGTAACACAATGACTGCTTCAAAGGCAGAACTGAGGCTGTCTATGCCATGCATGCAATTACAAGGGCCCCTTACTGTGTCCTGGGCTGAAGACCACTTAAAAGGCAATTGAAGCCCCAAGCTGGAAGGAACTTTGTTTATTTCTCAGAGGACCAGCTTCCCAAGTGTGGAGAGAGAAGATGACACTAGCTATGTGGTTATGTGGCTTTTCTAAAAGCCTATGCTTGGTCACATTAATAT